TATATATTTATATAGAAAAAAAATAATAAATAAAATTCTAATGTGGATATAGAATTTATCCACATTAGAATTTTTTTTATTATTATTTAAAAAAAAAAAAAAAAAAAAAAAAGAAAAATCAAAAACTTAAATATTGGATATTCATAAGAATATGTAAATCTACTTAAACCAAAAACATTAACTGAGATAATAATACACAAAATATATATTTAACTCAAATAAATCATATTTTCATATATATAATCATATATTATATAATTTATAACTCATAAATCATTTATAGAGTACTTTCTTTAAATGACTGAATTAAAATACTTTACATTTCTGAGAAAGAAAAGAACAAGATTTAGATTCTATTGAAAGTCAGTCTTTAAATAATAATAAAACATCTGTCAAAATGTGTCACTACCAAAACTAAGTTTTTGTATATTAATTTTTGGTTTTGCCTGATTTAAATTATTTTTTTTTTTGACAATTTATGATGAGCAAGTGAGACTGCATCCCTGTCCATCATTGCTGTATGAAGAGTAGCTGAATCCCATCATTTTGAAGATTCAATTCATTTCAAATACAGTAAGTCCTAAATGTGTTTCACCTATTCTCATTGAAAAATGTTGCATTCATGACCCTTTTAAATCTTAAAGCTAATGACACAATGACGTTCTTCTTATACACATTCACTATGTTTGAAGGTCTGCAATGAAAAATCATATCAGAAATAAAAACAATTGTTCCGATAAGTGGATGGCACTCGCTGGGTTAAGTGCAGCGGCATGCCAATTTTCCCACTGCAAATATTCATTAAAGCAGCACTATGTAACTTTTTCTGTGTTCAAAATTTTCAAAATGTATATAACGAGTGAGTACATCATGAATTCATCTTCCAAACCATGTTTTTGTCTTATTCCGAATCACTACGGTACACTTATAATAAGTACTTATATTTGGACTATTGTAGCCTGGTCGGGTCGTCACCGCTGCGGAGTAACACATACCTGCGTGAATCGCCATAGACATAAACTT